GAAACACTGATAGTCTCTCTGAAAAATCCCAAGGATCGAACTCGGAACCTCAGGAGTGTCAGTCAGTGGTCAAACCAATTGAGCTATCGCTCCACCATATATAGTTTATATTCAGAGTTTGTGTTTTCATATCTTGTTATCAATTATTGTAGTTTATAAATCGGCTTTAAAAAACTCTTCAGACCTTGTGTTTTCTTATGTTATTATACCAAACTTTATAAAATAAATACTTAATTACTTTACGCGACTTTATTGTCTCAATTCTCGTCTCTTTACAAAATATCTCAAGGTGAGTATTATATTATTAATGTATGGTATACAGACGACAAACATGTGATATCCGACACATGGCATGGACTGACAAGTTGATGTTTTACGGTCACAGTAAAGTCCGGGGTTACAGATGGCGGTTGGTGGATAGAGTATTTGCATCTTTATATACACACGGCTCCTGGTAACCTGAATTACAAATATAACAAGTGAACATTAATAAAACAGCTACATTCATTATGATTAATAGAAGATTTTCATCAATGATATTAATGTATGTCGTCTGAGGAACATTTAGCCACCCTTTTTCCATTCATTGCTAGGTCAACTGCTCTCAACAAGTATCACAAACATACCCGTGTGTTCTTTTGAGCAAACCAGGTCAATCAGTGGCTATATATTATCTCAGTGTAGCAATTGGATAATAAATTAGCTAATTTACACTGGGAAGGTTCTTAAAATGTCAAATTGTTTCATGCCAATGTATGTAAAGGGCGGTAAGAAACACCAACAACAACATATAACAAGAAAACGTGTCGTATGAAATACGAATAAGTGTATTATTTTTTACTTTATGACATTATATTCAGCATAATTATAAAATGTGTGACAAAGTAAATTATTGGTACAATTAATCATGAAATAAAATGTTTGTACCTTCTTTTTCAAACCTATTACTTGGGTAAGAAATGAAATAGAACTTGATTAGATGTAAGAGGATTATTTAAGAAGCTCAATACTCAACCAATATATTATTATGATATAATGATGTTCCTTTAAAATGTTATCACGGACACGATAGATTAATCCTCCGTGTTAATAACTGCTGATATACAACAGTCAGGAATGTTGTGCCTTCCAAAAGATAACATTGAAAACATAATAATTATGCTTATTTGTTACATACTTTAATCATTTCAAAATGTTCAGACTGGTATACAGAGACGGTTATAACCTTTATGTTGCATGAATTTCGGAAATCAATTTAATTAGATTTCATTTTTTAGAATATTGTTGCTGTTTGTTTACATTGATATTCTTATGAAACTTTAGCAATTTTTTGCAAATAACTATAATCAATTACAATTACGATGTTTCTTTCTTTAGCTTTAAAAGATTGACTTTGTTACAAGTATAAAATTATTAACATAAGTCAAACATTTTGTTTAAATATTCCGATTTCAATTTGTTTCGTTCATTAAAGGCACATTATGCCTCAGAAACAAAGAAATGTTTACATCTTTAGAAAGGGGAAACATAAATTTTACCATATGTAAATAAAGGTTTTAAAGTGGCGCTTTATGTGAAATTATTTGTCATTAAAGTGAAATTATTTGTCTTTAAAGTAGCAAAATGTAAACAAAGAAGTATTTTGACTTCCATACAAAATACTAAATCACTCTTACTGTACTCATTGCCAAAAAGCAACGGATAAAAAGGGAAAAGATAGTTCAGTTAATTAGCCAATTAATAAATTATTTGATACTATTAAAGTACACCAACTTTTAAAGCTTTTGGGAAAATAAATAAAAGCATTCGGAGGTATATGGGCCTTTAACAGTTATTTTTGATAGCATTTTATCATGTACACCGTTTTGGCTTTATATTTTTCGATTAGATACTTTTTTTCTGGTATCAAAATAATGTATGTGTGCATGCACGTTATTATAAAAAATGTTTAAGCACAATCAATTTAACTTCCAGGTCAGCAGTAGATATGTGTAATCTTATAAGTTTGTAAAAAAATATTTGCAGGTGTGTCTAAATGAAAATGAAAATTTTCAGTTCTGTGTAAAACTGGTACGAGTAAAACGTTTCAATTTTTATGTGTAATATTGTCTAACAAATTATGATTGATAGTTTTCTTTGTAAAGCATTTTACGATGACTTATTGAAAGCTTCATTTGATTTAACAGAAAACCTGTGGGAATTATGTTTTGTCTCTGACACTTCTGTTTTTTAGTGTTATGAGCTTTTGAGAAATGTTTATATGAAAGGTATTCAAAAGAAAACGTGATAAAACATGATGTATAATGATTGTCAATGATAACATGTTAACCGATTCGCTCAGTGTTCTATTAGAGAGAAACACATTTATATACTTATGGTGATGCCGGCGGGCCTGCACTATATTTTCTTTTAGACGAATTAACAGACTTCAATCTTTCTATGGACTCCGAGCAAGGAATGTTTTTACTGACTTTTTATAGAATCATTTCTCGTTAGGGCTTACTGTGAAATCAAAGGATGTGTTAAAGTTTCACTACTTCCGGCCTTAATTTTCATTAAAGTGTTCCATTTCATGAAATGTCGTTTCGCATGTCGTTTTATATTGATTTGGGAAAAAATATCATTTTATCAAATTGTTTTACAAACATCATAATAGAAAGCTATTAGTTTTGATATTAATCATTGCAGCAAAGCATGCCTTATCTCGAAAAGTGTTACAAAACGTAAATGTATGCTCAACCTTAATACTATATATACACATGATTGCTTTTGTTGTAAACAATTCTCCAGCTACAGCAAAATAGACCAGAAACATTATTCAAGTCTTGTACAGAGTTCATCATTCTAGAAAATGTAAATTTCAAATAAATATGTATATGTAGCGCTATTTTATCAAATTCTAACAAAGACGCTAAATGGAAAACAGTTGCTTTATATATATCTTAAACGCGAAATAACGATTGGCAAGCACAAGAATACTGCAACAACTTTTAATCTGCTGTACATATTAAGTTACAACTTATCAGCAAAAAACAATCATCAAAGCATAACTAAAGGCCTCAACAGACGGTAGGATTTTGAAGTACAACATCAATTAAAACTAAGATGTACAAACAAATCTTAATGTGTGAAGGCTATTATATCTTGAATTCGTAAACCTTAATACTAGATGTAAGGGATAGGACATGTTCTATAATTTTGAAAATCTTGTCGTACAGACATCCCGCAATGACAAGTAACAGATTGCCAACTTATCTCCTGGTAATGGTAGTAATGAATGAAATTCCAGAACAATTAGGTCTAAAAGGTAAACATTGTAGTAAGATGGGGTAAAAATGATGTTGAAAAACTCTTCAGGAGACCCAAAATTGTGGTATGTTCGAATTCCAAATTTTTCAGAAAATGATTGTGTCACGGTATTGAACTGTTCTCTAATCAGGGGAGATAGTTTGTAGGCGACCGGATAGCTCAGTCAGTAGAGCCGCAGTACGGTATTCCAAGGGTCCCAGGTTTGAGTCTCGGTTAGGTTGCACATTAATAAAATGAAATTAAAACAAAAAATGAAACAATAGAGGTGTTTCAATCATTACTCATGGAGAAAAATAATTCAGTGAGTAAAGTATGTAAGGGATCAATTGGGAGGGAACTTGTTTTAGGGAAACCTCAGATGATTATTACAATGCAGATTATTCATATGAATGCAAGTGTTTCATTGCTTTGAAAATTGTACATCTTATCTCTGATTATTGTTGTACAACTAAATCATACCGTCTGTTGAGGCCTTAATATTATAACAGAAAGATAGATGTGTAAAACAACAGTGCATTTGGGCGCCGGAAGATAACTATATGTGCTGTAACCTGTTCCTTTGTTACGCTTTGTTGTTGGGTTTAATTTATGACATTTTAAAAGCCAGATCGCGACTTCTCTGCTTCACCTGTAGAGTAAGACCTCTGGTGCCTCCGTGCATTAGTTTAGGCATGAGCGATGAACAGCGTAGACATAACTTCCCTAAATGCGAATTGTGATACAAGATGTTAAACGAAAATATTCATTATTCCTTTGCCTGGAAACCTTCATTAATAAAAACAAACTGTTTTGTTTCTCAAAATTGCAGTAATATGCAATGTTTTATCCTTCATGGCGACAATAAATTGTCGCAAGAGAAATTAAATATTAAGATATGAATTATTTATTAGAACAACTTGTCCATATCTTAAGTAAGTCAAATTTGATTCCGTGATTAAAAACATAACATCAAGTCAAATAAATATGAGAAAAAGCAAAATGTATAGATTTATTAATTAGAACGCTGTAAAAAATGAAGATTATAAATGTGTACTGAATAATTCTTATATCAGAGATTTTTCTTATTTCATAAACAAACTACATTTATTAAGCATGAATTGTTTAATGCCTGTATTTAATTGATGCACTTGTGTGCTAAAAAAAAAATCATATCCGGCTTTTTTCTAAAACCAGTCATTTTATATGGAGTCAACGTCGATGTATTTCTTTTTAGTGTTGGTTTTTGAAATGATTAATTCATTATCCTTTTTGCAATTAAAACTAGAGACTTCATCAATGAACCTTTTATTTCTCATAACCAATATTATTCAAACCCCGTAAAACGCTTTAATAACGATTAAACTGTAATGGAATTCAGTCAACAGTAATTCCATGCTTAATATAGCTACAAATGTAACATAAATGTATCAACCTAATGTTGATATATCGGATAAAAATGTATCAACTTAATGCTGCTATATATCAGATATAAATTTGTCAACCTAATGCTGATATATCAGATGTAAATGTATCATATTAATGCTGATATATCAGTTGTAAATGTTTCATCTTAATGCTGATATATCTGATATAAATAAATCAACTAAGAAAGTCATTTTATCCAATACATCACTTATATACAATCCCATACACCATTTATATAGAAAGTCCTTTTATCCAAAATATCAGTTATTTACAAAGCCCTTTTATAACTTAAGTCATTTAATATATTTTATATTTTCACAATCTATATGTATGTCTTTAAATATACGTTATTCTTTTTATTTAATTCACTGTTTACAATAATCGATCACCCCAGTCAGACTCTAAACAGTAAACATCTTATTAAAAGTTAAACTAAAAGGAATATATTTGACTATGCTTCTCTCTCCTTACACGGAGTAAATGTTGAATTTAAAAGGCATTAAATCAGCGTATAGAATTTCAACTTAATTAAGCAGTGGCATTATTGTTTCTAATAAATTATTCATATCCTAACATTATAATTCATGCTGTGGTTTTTATTGTCGCTATCAGACTGTAGAATTGCTTCCCACTGTAATAGAAAAGATAACATTTCAATATTTACTGTTTTAACTAACAGTTGAAAGCACTTTAATTTTCTGACAATGACAAAGTGATTAAAATGGTTTGGAGAAATAGTTTTTAAGATGAAACAATTTGTGAAATGAAGGCACTTCCATATTAATTTGATTATGAATCTTATGAATATTATTCTAAGAACTATCATATCATATTCTAGCATGACTTTTGATTTTGTCACTGTATACAAAGAAGAAAATAGCGGTGTATAACTGTCGATAAACACCACCTACGGACTACATGTATATACGACTATTCTTTATGTATGTGTAGTCCTCAGAGACAAATAAATATAAATGATAAATATAAGCAACAAAAATAAAGCATTTTTTTAAATGAAGTATTAAGATTGTGTATCAAAGAGTGCGGTTAAATTACTATTTATTTCAATTCAATATAGTCTAAAAAGCATAAAATGAACACCGTGAAAGTAGAAATGTCGAGATCGATTCATTTGCCCTTGATTACTGACCAGATGATGTACAGAAACATTCATATTAAGAGATTTTTAAAAAAATACGTTGAAAATATGAATATAAATAAACAGGTAACAAATAGCCTGTTTGATGGGATCAAGGAAGTTATTTAAGATCAGCTTCAAGATTGACTATCTCACAGCAGGTTCATTTGTTATCAAAGATAGGGCGTGGATGTAAAGTTACTCTAATGCACAAAACTGTTATTAATCTATGAACTATTTTTTAAAATTTCCGTGAAGTTCTTTAAAACAGGAAACAAAGATCAATAAGGAAGGGAGGCATTCAACAAACGCATCTCCCAGCACATCGGATTCAATAAGGCACGTTTATCATTTTGTAGTATTGACTTTGTACTTTATTTGAAGACAAAATGAACAACAATATATAAAGCTGATATCACCGCCTGATATGACACGAACGTATAAAAATAAATAAACTGATACTTCAGTTAAAGGATATTAATTAATGAGTTATGAAATACACTTTACATCAACAAAGTTATGATCAAAACAATAAGTATTATAAGTGAAAGCACCATAAAAACATAAAAGAGCATTTTGTCAATGTACGCTGCCAACTTCGAACAAACTTCGTTTTCTTTTCTAATCAATTCATTATTTGTTGATGAATGTTTCTGTTTTAATTCACTCAAAATTCTTGATAAGATTAGATTAATACTCTCTCTATCGTTATCCAGTATAGTATCGTTGACTTCAATGTTGTTTTCACTATTCCTTAAACCATTGTGTTCATTAGTTCTTCCATTAAAAATATTCATTTCTCCGTTACGATCATTAGAAGAGTCCAGGACGTCCATTTCAATGTAATGGTTCTCCCGCAAAAGACCATTTCGATCTATTTCATTCCTACTGTCTATTGTTGAGTTATTTTCTCCTTTATTCCCTTTATTCTTTTGTGACGTTGTTTTTCTTAGAATCTAGAAATTTTGAAAACATGCAAAAATCAACAGTGAACAAGGCAATCAACAGATTTGCACTATCATTTATACCAGATTTTCTTTATATATCTGTTAATAGCATAATGGAATTTTGTTATGAATTATTTTGAAAAAAAGGATCAAATACATCTTTTCTAATTTATCTTTTATTTCAGAAAATAGCTTGTCATTATGGAAACTTACAGCAATTTTTTTTTATCTAGTTTCACTAACTTATATAATAAATGGAGGAAATGTCAGTGTCATGAAAATTTCATTTCTATTATAAATTCTTTGCAGAAGAATATAATCTCTATATGTCATAAGAACAGTACAAGGCTTGAACAGTGGATTCCTAGACACCATTTTGTTTAATAAAAGTACGACTGCAAATAACATATGTCACTTCTATACTTACATTTTGTAGACAAATAGGTAAATGTTTCCTATTTCTATCAGATATCTTTGAAACAACGATTGATGCAATCAATGCGAACATCGCAACAAAAATGCACGATATGTTGATAATTCCTGTAAAGAAAACACCAAGTTTTCGTATATAATCTTACAAATAAAGGGGTTTAAGTGTTTACTAATAATGTTATTTATGTATACAGTCTGCTCATGAAACATTTTATTTAAGGTTGGCGTCTTTTCTAATGTTTATGTTGATTTAGGTACTTTTCTGATATTGACCAAACATTCTGGTAAACATATTTTAATTGTAGTAATTGTCATAGTTGTTTTTTCTTCCATTATTTCGTTTACAGGCTTTTAGTCACATCGAACTGCTAATTAAAGTACTACTATTGACATATTAGCTAACGTGCCCTGTCAAGATTCATTTCAGGCACGGACAATCACCAATTTAGGAGCACAGAGATATCGTAAGCTAGCTGAATAACTTTGTCGCATTGAAAAATGAATTATCGGAATCTTAAACCGAAGCGGTGAGCTCCATTAAAAAACGATATTCATACAAAAAGATAGAATGCTTTGTAGAGTGAATAATGGTTAATATATTATTTTCCTATTAACATATATAGAAAGTATATGTTCGTATATGTGTTCTTTACCTATAAAAGGAATACTTGAATGGTCTGGGATTTCAGAAGACAAAACCATCAGTGGCAAACATTCTCCAAACAATAGGAATAACCCTGAAACATATAAACCCGATATTCCTTAAGATATCCATGCATTGAAAAATAGTATACATTTGTACTTAAAAATGGAAATGAGAATAAGCGATATAAAATGAATAGAATCTCAATTTTAAGAATCATCAAATATCTTCATGTAATAAATTTATATTAATTGTAAGACTTTTAACGACATTTTCGGGAGTTTTCATATAGACATATAGGCAAATTGAAAACTGTTCAATAGAATTTCTTTAAACTTGGCATATTGTTAGAATATGATAACAGAAAAAATTTAAGCGAAAACAAAAAATGGGTTTTACCGTTCTCGTTTTGAGTTATCTGCCCCTGAATCTAAATTTTCTACTTATTTGAGTTAATTTCAAGGGCAGATAACTCATACATACTTAAATGAAAACTTGTTTTTACTTCTGGGTTCTGTTTTTCTTTTTATTGTTGAATACAATACATAATAACATGCAATTCCTCATATATTTTCTGTTATTTTTATCAATGAAAATAATGATACTTTAAATTCTTAAAAAATAGGCCATTTTTTAAGAAAGAATGTACAGGCTTAAAGAAGAAGCGGAAAAAACTACCCACTCTAAGTTCGTTCTTGGAATTATGCATATCGACTGAAACGAAGGTAAGCTTCATGAAAATAAGAAAAAATGTATTGTTTCCCTTCATTGTAAATTATCTGCCTTGAATTTTACGAAAAAGTCTAATTCAAGGGCAGATAACTCGAAAATCAGAACGGTGACCTCATTGTTTTATGTTTAAAATGTTTCAGTTATCATATTCTAATAACATGACAAGTTTAAAGAATTCCATTGAACAGTTTTAATTTTGCCTATATGTCTATCTGAAAACTCCCGAAAACATCCCTAATTATTACCAAAAGTTTGCCTTGAAGATAATTTTCGAGGTAATAGAAACTGGAAAGGTACGAGCATGGAGATCACGAGCATTGGAAAAATAAACATGTTTGTAAGACATCTGAAGAAGGAGACATTTCTGATCATTGTAATGGCAATCTTTAGCTGGAAATATGATTCTTCTGAAAAATAATATAACACTCACATGAGTAACTCTTGATTTGCTTTAAAAAAAGTTAGATTTACAAAGGAGTAACGAGTACACCATAATGTGAACGTTGTGAGTTTTATTTGGAGTAGAATATATTTATCTTTTC